CCCCCCCCAAATGTTAGTTTAGCATACTGCTTGATTTATTTAACCACTACAATCTATGCTAGGTTAGCAGCCCATATCCTTCTACGTGGTAGGTCAACAGTGCCTCCTAAACTGCTAAGTATGTAGTCATCTTAATTTGTGGAAGATGCAGATAGGGTATTGAATCAGCAATACAAGCACTGTGTGAGTTCCATTTCAAGAACTATGATTTGATTTTTAACGTAGCCTGCTATTGGCCTACAGTGCCAGTCCCTGAATCCTGAAAGACATTATGCTTAATAGCAAGTGAAGTCCAAATGAAATAAAATAGAGCGGGAGATATTAAAATAAATGTGTACTTTGGAGTATTTGCTTATAATATCAAATTTGATATTCCTTTATCCATCTCTCCCCCAAGGACTTGTAATCTCATTTAATAAGGCTAAATCTTGGATATGTTTCTGTCTCCCTAGAACCAACAGCCAACATGTCTAGCAAAAGGGCAAAGACGAAGACCACCAAGAAGCGCCCTCAGCGTGCCACTTCCAATGTATTTGCAATGTTTGATCAGTCGCAGATTCAAGAATTCAAGGAGGCCTTCAACATGATCGACCAGAACAGGGATGGCTTCATTGACAAAGAGGACTTGCACGATATGCTCGCCTCCCTTGGTAATGTCACTTTCCTGTTTACGGTTGCCTGTTACAATTTGTGCTGTTACAATTAAAATACTGAGTTTGGCGTAGCTCATGAGAGGTGTCTTACTTTGTACCATGCTATTCAGATTACTTTTTCTTTTAGTTTGAAAGCTAAACCAAATATGAATCCCTCTATCTGTAGGAAAGAATCCAACGGATGAATACCTAGATGCCATGATGAATGAGGCTCCAGGCCCCATAAACTTCACAATGTTCCTCACAATGTTTGGTGAGAAGTTAAATGGCACCGATCCGGAAGACGTAATCAGGAATGCTTTTGCTTGCTTTGATGAAGAAGCGACAGGTACGTGGGTAAAGTAACAGTGTATGTGTATTATTTCTATACTTTTGTAACAATAAATACTTGTATTCATAGAAGTGGTGATTAATTTTTTTTTAACTCTGAAAATTCTGATTTCTGCAAACTAAAAATCATGCCATGTATCCTCAGCAGCTTGAAATTACCTTTTCAAATACTATAAAACTTAAATCCCAAACTTCTGGCACTTCGGTGCTGTTATTCAAGACAGGAGAAAGGAAAAAATGATGTTGATTTGGAAACAGGGTCTTAAATTTTTCTGAACTTAAAATTCAGCTTTGGGGCAATTTTTGTAAGAGAAATTCTTGTCTTTAAAGCTGTTGTGCTTTTATGAAGGACTTGTTTTCTGTCAGCAACTTGTATCCACCTTCCCTCTGTTAAGCTGCACTTAAAAGAGAAGAAAATCAATACAAGAAAAACCTTGTGTGACTCACAAGAGTGCTGATAGAAGGAATCACAAGTTATGGCTGCTTGTTTAATAAACAATGCCAAAAATGTATTCTTTGCAACCAGTCCAGTAAATCTGAGTTTTGTTAGTGATTTAAGATCAATTTAAAATCTTTGAAATATTTCAAACTTCTGTGTGTTTCATGCACTTGTTGAACATTGATGGTCAGGTTCCATCATTATTTTAAGTGGTTTTCATTAGGAATGTTCAAGACAAATGGATCCCTTTTGTGTAAAATATACAGTTGTTAGAAGGCTCTCCATACTACCGGGAGTGTAGCCCTGCTGTTGGGAAGAAAGTCCAATATTTATACTGACAAATCTGTATATTCTTTGAAACACAGGCAAATCACAAAATGGCCTTTACTTGAAGTAGTGAGACCGTGCAGATTAACTAAGAGGCTTGACTTGATTGAATGCTTGTAGTTATTTGGCAATTATAGTAATAGGCTTTAATGGCTTTGTTTTCATTTGGCAACAAAGACTGTAGGTCTCTTTAATTGAAACGAAGAATTGAAAGAAATTATCATCCATCTATTAGCAGATAAATGTAAAAACTCCTTTTTCTTATGTCCTCTTACACTGTGTTCTAGGGTTCATCCAGGAGGACTACCTGCGAGAGCTGCTGACGACAATGGGAGACAGGTTCACAGACGAAGAGGTAGATGAGCTGTACAGAGAGGCACCCATCGACAAAAAGGGGAATTTCAACTACATTGAATTCACACGCATCCTGAAACATGGAGCAAAAGACAAGGATGACTGAGCAAATCCCTGGATACCTGCAGATTATCTCTGCTTTACATTTACGTCTATTTTTGAGGGTTTCTTTCTGATAGAACTTGTTGCATGCATGTAGCTTTACAGCTTTTGCCTTTCTCAATGTATTTATCTATTCCAGGCCATTTAGGCACATTTGCACCTGTGTAATCAGACTGGAAGTGGGGAAAATATTGTGAGGAAAAGAATGTGGGGACAAAGATCCATGGACTTGATAGTCCAAGAAAATAATCTCAATGTTTCTGGTTTAGCTGGATTTTTACATTTTTGTAATAAATGCCATTTTGAAATAAAGATTGCTATATAGATAAAATACCTCCAATTCTTTTGTGAAGAATGACATTTCTATTATGCATTTACAAGAGCAGGTGTGTTAATTGTATTTTACTTGCAGTTGCAAGTCAAGCTGGAAAACTCATTTTCATAACGTTTTGTGCAGTGTCACGCAGTTCTGAAATGCTCCTAGCAGTATGTGCTGGTGTCTTTAAAAATGCAGCTGTACAAATCTCTTATCTCAGGTTTTTGAAGTGGCATCTGACTGGTGTAAGTGGTTAGCCAAAGAAATGGTTAGGGAAGATTGTTACAATTGCTTAATTGCCAGCAGAGAACATTTATGATTCTTTAGCAGATATCATGCCGAGCTTTTATTTCCTTTTAATATTGATAGGTTTTTAGCAATATTTTCATGTCAAAGTTTGCATTCCTGTTTACTAAGTTTTTATGCTGGCAATAAGTGGGAATTAGGCATATTTTCTTCCTTCTGCTGAAGGAAGCTTGTGCAAAGGAATCTGTCTCTGAGCTACAGTGTCTGTGCTGGCACTAATTAACAGCAATACATGGCCTACATAGAGCTTTATTGTTCTGTAGCTTTTAATTTGTGAGAATTTGAGCATTTGTGAGAATGTGAGCAAAGTAGTTCTGAGAATTAACTTGGTAAAACCCTATACATGCTAAAGGCCCTCTCACGTTTTAAAAGATCATATATTTTTCTCAGCTACATCAATAAGGTGGCTTTTAAGCAAGCAAGACTCATTCATTCAAAAACAGCTGTGCTGATGCTGTTGTCCCAAATACCAAGAAGAGCGGAAGGTTGTTCTCTTAGTTCTTTGCATGACCATGTCCTTCCATGTGTCTCATTCTCTTGGCTACTGCAAGCTGAAAAGCGTAAGGGGACTTTATCTTACCTACATATTTATCAAAGTGATGACCTCTTATCCAGAAAGCATGCCCTGAGCTATTTCACATGACTTAAAATAGGAATTCTATTTCAGCTAAAGGGCTTGTAAAAGCTGGGACAGCATATACTGTAAGGAGGGTTTGTCTCATGTCCCGTGTGGTAGCATGAAGACTTGGTTACTTAATCTTGCTTATGTTACCAGTATGGCAGTTCTTGAAGATATTCTGGCTTTAGCTTTGTAAATAAGTTAAATTGACAAAGTATACTCAGTAGGCATACTTCATGGGGTTTTGGGGGGGTTTGTTTTGGGCTTTTTATTCCTGGGTGGTTTATTCTACTTCTGGGCTTAAATAAAATAAGTTTTCAGCCATTCTTTTCCCAATTTTCCCAATATGCTAACTGGAATTTAGCCCCAATTTTTCTTTTTCTCCTACCCAGACTATGTTCTTTGCTATATGACTTCAGACTGCCATATCTGTTCCTTTTCTCAAAAGTTTGTTTTTAAACTATCTCAGTGCTCTTCAGTATGGTTGCTGAGGTATTTTTCCATAGGATGCCTGCAAAGTTGTAGCAACAGCTGATTTTTTTGGAAAGTATTTTTACAAGTATGTATGGAAGTTTTCACCTACAATACCCATGTGACAAAGATGACAGTGTAGAGATCCAGGAAACACTGTCTTGGTGAAATGTTGCTATGTAACATTAAGCTGAAGAACAGTTACACTGTCACTTCTTTAGACTGATCTTGTCACATCTGTGCAACTCAATATTGCGTGCATGCATGCAAGCAGCCTGCACTAAGGATAGCCGTTATACTATCTTGATTATTTTTTTCCCTTTGAATGTCTAAATGGTGTAAGCTTCAAGGGTCAGTTTTCTTCTGTTATGAACACTGGGTCCCCAAACCATACTCCACCTGATCCTGTCTTCTCAATAAATTTTAGGTGCTGGTATGCTAGTTACGCTCAGTAGTCAGCAGACAAGCCAGCTGGATTTTTCTTGCTGGAAATGAGTTTTGAAGTAGTGATTTTTAAATCATAAATATTAGTTACACACAAGAGAATCAGGTATCCTCCTTGAGAGGAAATTGCCCACTTCAAAATCTTATGTAGTGCTGCTCTCAATTTTTGAACATCCAGTTGAAATGTGGGATGTAGCTGCTTTGTCCCTTGTCACACTGTGTGGGTGCTATGTTTTTGGCTGCTTTCTCCGGTGACGGGGTGGGGACAGGGAACTGTATTAATGTAATGATACCTACTCAGGAAGACATGTTATTGAGAAAGAATTTCCAAGGATGTTCGAGTTACAACTAACGTTGACCTTCCAAGTTCAGGTTTCCCTAGTATCTGTATTGTAATGTAGGAGACCAGTTAACCTGCAAGAGGGCACAAAACCCTTAACCGCCGGAAGGCTACGAGACCTACAGACCCAGCCAAGAGACCATATAAGAGCATCAGACGTGTTTTGTAGCTAGGCAGCGAGGAATGTCCAGACAGCTGAGGTTGCATGCCGAGGGCTGTAGGGATGTGTCATCAATAATCCACTTCCAAAAATAAAAATAACTTTGGTCACTGAAACAGCTTAAGATTCTGATGACTTAGACACAGCATTTCGCAGTCAAAATCTTGGAACCTAATCTTTTCTCCCTTGGGGTTCATATATAATGGCCTCCAAGCTCCACACCAGACTAAGCTTATGATGAAAAACTATTTTCATAGACTGCTGCACACATTTAATAGTCTTACATCGACAGTGATATATAATGCCCCGTGAAGCACTATTGAAAAGCAGTGATTTATTTTATATGACCCATTTACCCTGTTCTAAGGCCACATCCGCAAAGGTCGAATTGAAGCCAAGGAGCTATTGCAGCTGCATGAGAAACCTCCAAAGAGGACTACATTTGTGTGAAGTGCTGCCAGTACATGCCTGCCTGCTGTTTTTTTTTTTCCCCTCCTCTGACTGTTGCTGGAGATACTGGTAATATGCAACATTGTAACTGCTCAGGATACACTTGTTTCTGCTCTTTAGGCTGCATTTAAGCAAATAAAACCAGCTTTCATTACACAGTGATCAGATGACTGAAGCATTTCACAACACAAAGTCAGCGTAATATACTAGCTCAGCAACTAACCGATGTCTCAGAGGTGGTGTTCGTACACTCTGAAGTAAGGATCCATTTCACCACTGACCTCAGAACTATCTTTAGATCGCTTGTTTCTAGGATCACCATCATCTGTTGAGAACCAAAATGTAACAGAGGGGCCCCATCCTGGCACAGGACATCAGTCACAGTATGCCTTTGTGTCCTGCCCAGTGCATTTGTTCCAAAAGCTGGAAAATATCTGAAATCCTGTCATTCTATGTTTCTCCTGGCCATGGCCTCTTCTTGTCCGGAATGTTACTAACCTATTATTTGGTATGTTCCTGGGGAGCTTCAAATGGCAACAAATAGCTCTTTTACCCTACTGAAGGCATTCAGACAATGTAAATCCAAATAGCAGGTGAGTAACAATGAAAGTAGAGTCAGGAACATTTTAGGTATCAGCAGTTCATCTGCATTGGTATTGCCTATGTACCCATGCTCCTATTTTGGCTTGCTTACTTAATTTTTCAAACTCTACTGTTCCTTTTAGATAACCTCCTCCTACAGAAAAATGATTTAGGATGACAGTAATTCAGAAACAGTATTACAGAAGCCAGGAACAATATAAAGGCAAAAAGAAATCAGTAAATGCCTCTCAAAATGCAGTTTTGAAAAAAGCTATCATGTTGAAAAGCAATACTGGGGAAAAAAAACAAATTCCACACAGCTCATTTTTGTTGTGCTCTGAACAGCAACTCCATAGAGATTACTGTTTTCCCAAACTTTTGATATATTAGATAGAAAACTTTTCATCTTAAAAAAAAAAAAAAAGTGGCAGCACATGGCTGCTCTTCCTATTTTCTCTGCAGCCCGTGGGCCTGTACACACATCGTTCCCTGGGACCACTCATTTTGGGTCGGAGCGAGCTCAGTTGCTGCAGGCAGACAAAGCAGGCCGGCTGCTGGGGCAGCACATCCTTTGGGAGTCCCTGTACTAGACCTTGAAAAAAATAACTTGTATTGCAAATTTCAAAAATACAGAAAAAAATACTGCCAAGGAATGTTTTCAGACCAAATGTGTGATATTCCCTAGAGAACAGATCAGACATCACAGGCGTTGCATCACGGGGCTTAAGGGGTCATGCAGTTTGTATGAATGTAATAAATCTAAGGGAAGATGTTTACATGTTTCTCGGAAGCATGTAATGAACAGGAGAGCCGGAAACCAAACTGCCTGCTGGAAAATCCCAACCTCTTGCAGACTCCTCTGCCACGCAGCCGTGATTCGGTCCCTTAGTAAACCGGCCTTGCACTTTGATAAAGCTTGAAAGTCAGTTACAAATACTACAGGATTGGGCAGGTCAAGACTAACTTTAATACATGTGCCTAAAGGAACAGATGGTGTGTGACAGCAGCATTCATTTTAGCATTCTTGTAAGCTGTCACTGCTCAATTTTGCAAGGTTTATTTAATCCTTAATTTGCAATTTCCTCACTTTGACGATTTTAGGGTATCAGTGAGTACAACCTCATTAAATACTGAACTATGTTTTGTTTTGGTTTTTCCCTTATGCATGTTGTGGGCATAGCTCCTTGGGAGTTAAGAGACAGCATTTCACAATAATATCCAGCCTCTGTCTAGAACAGTCAAGTGAGTGGGTGTAAAATGAGGCCTGTGAGCCCTGTCTTAGTGTTTGCTAAAATAGAGTTGCTGTCAGACATGAGTAACTTTCACTTTAACTTAGCATTGTATCTAACAGATACTGGGTTGTTTTTTTTTTTCCTCTATCGAATTCTTCTTCCTTTAATTGTGAGCTAAACATCTCTAATGCAATAGATTTTATACTGGCAACATATGACCACCCCACAAGAAGTATGTTGATTTTGAAATTGGTCCACCAGCCAAGCAAACTTGCATAGGCCTCAGCTAATAAGAAAACCGATAACAGCTTACTTTTTATGTCAAACACCTGATTAAATACACTCCTCCTTGCTTTCTGGGTATGTTTTAAAATACCATTTAAGGCCTTCGGCCAAGCATTGAGCACATTT